ACTGCTTGGCTGTATATGACGACAACTCTGAATTCCATTCTGGGCACGGGATCCGGATGGACGCTTCGGTGGCTTTGACACTTTTGATGTCTGAACTGAATGAAGAGCCATGGAAAGGAAAGGTGATCAATTTCAGTGAGTTGCCTCAGCTACACTTTATACAAGGCAATAATCTTATGAACAAGTGTGAGTTTGTCAGCAACATGCACAAGGACCAGAACCTTGATTTTCAGAAGGTGTTTGATTTGATTTTGGAAGTGGCTGTGAAGGGGAATTTGAAGCCAGAGCAGATGATCAACAAGGTGTTTGTGCTCACAGAATACAAACACTTTGAAGATGTTTCCAATAACAGCTGGAAGACTGATTATGAGGCAATACAGAGCAAGTTTAAGGAGAAAGGGTATGGGACTGCGGTGCCACACATAGTGTTTTGGAGGTTCGAAAATTTGTACCATAAGTCTAGGCCGGTGATGCCTTCCACAGAACCAGGGGTGACGCTTTTGAGTGGCTTGTCCAGCAATTTGATCAAGTTGTTCTTGGAGAATGGTGGAGAAATTGGCCCCGAACAATTCATGGAATCAGCCATCTCTAGTAAAAAGTTTCAGAAGCTGGTTGTAGTAGACTGACTGATTAGTTTGATTTATGATCATCTCATCTGTCGATTTAACTTAATTATTTCCTTTTCCTTGAATATCAACAGTTTTAATAAAAAGATAATTAGACACTTCCTTATTAAATTAATTATAAATTAGTAGATTATTCGCATCATTCAAATTAATTATGGTCATTTTCTTATCAAATCTGTCGATTTAATTATACGAATTACTAGCTTGCTATATCTTCCATCTCGAAGATAAGCCTAGTAAAAAAAGAAGGATTAATTAAATCATTGGTTTTGACAAAATAAAAAATAAAAAATCCTTGGTGCTCAAGTAATCATCACCTTATATAATTTTTTTAAAATGAATAGAAAAATGAAAAAAAGCTCAAAATACGAAAGTGTTTCATACAAAGGCCTTCATCGCCTTCTCTCCCAAAAACCAATACCAATGGCTACTTATACAAGTCTTGTTCTTCGTCCCCTAGAGCTCAAACTACCCAGAGGCAACCCTTTGATGGCTGCCAATTTCAAGACAGCCACAATCGCTGCCAATCCCACCATTTATAGGCTTGAGTAGTACTAGAAGAACCGCGGTCTCCGTCTCCAAATCCTCTCCCTCCTCCACTGTCACTGATGATGGTAATTGCAATGGTAACCCCTGCCTTGACCTCTTCCTCAACGTCCGAGATGCAGAGAAGTCCGGCGCCGGCCGTAATCGTCTGGAAGAACTGCTGTCGCTGGCCTGGTCCCACAACCCCCTAACAGCACTCAAGCTCATCTACAAGATACTTCGGGATTACTCCTTTGGAACAGGTGAGGAGGATACGTTCCGCACCGTGAAGTTTTGGCTACACCATAACCACCCCAAGACCCTAGCGCGCAATGTCACGCCTATTGCGGGGTTTTTCTTGTTTTTCCTTCAATTTTGCTTTTTACTGAGGCCGCATCTCGATCTAGAAGGCGAACGCCAATCTAAATTAGTTGGTGACATCACGCTGATTGCGTATCAAAGGGCGCATGACATAGAAGGCCAAGACGTGAGCCAGCAGCACCAGCAAAATGCGGCTGTCGTCGAGAGGTACGAGCATGACCCGGAGTATCGCTTCTTGCACGAGTTTATTTCGGATATTTTTGTGGAGTGCTTGAAGTCTGACATTGAAAAACTGAAGAAGAAAAACCTGAAGCAACCTAATGATGATCAAGATAACTTGTGGAAGATAACCTCGGCTGCAGACAGTTGCCTTTCCTTGGGCAACAACTTTAGCGACTCCGCTCTGCTGCTCCAAAGCATAGCGAAAAAGGTTTTCCCGCGAGAATCATACCCGGAATACCAAGGTGTTGAGGAGGCCGAGTATGCAGACTCTGTCCGAGACCGGCTGACAAAGGAGGTATTGCTGCCTATGGACAAGGTGGACAAGGCCTACAAATATGATGAGAGAACGAATGATACATATTTGGAGAAGTTGAAAGCCCGCCAGAAAGTATTGGGAGAACTTGAAAGCCGACAAGTCCAAAATTGAAGCGGATGCTTTGCTTCCGCATCAAATATTAAGCTATGTGAATCATTGGAATTTCGCGCAAGTGGCTGAGCTTCAGTGGAAGGCCGTGGTGTAGGGTATAAAAAAGCAAGGCAAATTAAACGGCAAGAAGATACTCAACAACTGCTTGGCTTTATGCGACGTCGCCTCCATGCTAGACCCCTCCTCCACTGTCACTAATGATGGTAATTGCAATGGTAACCCCTGCCTTGACCTCTTCCTCAACGTCCGAGATGCAGAGAAGTCCGGCGCCGGCCGTAATCGTCTGGAAGAACTGCTGTCGCTGGCCTGGTCCCACAACCCCCTAACAGCACTCAAGCTCATCTACAAGATACTTCGGGATTACTCCTTTGGAACAGATGAGGAGGATACGTTCCGCACCGTGACGTTTTGGCTACACCATAACCACCCCAAGACCCTAGCGCGCAACGTCACGCCTATTGCGGGGTTTTTCTTGTTTTTCCTTCAATTTTCCTTTTTACTGAGGCCGCATCTCGATCTAGAAGGCGAACGCCAATCTAAATTAGTTGGAGACATCACGCTGATTGCGTACCAAAGGGCGCATGACATAGAAGGCCAAGACGTGAGCCAGCAGCACCAGCAATAGGCGTGGAAAGGAAAGGTTATCGATTTCAGTGAGTCACCTCAGCTACATCTGATAAAAGGCGATGAACTTAAGCACAGGTACGATTTTTTGACTAGGAGGATGGCCTGCAAGAGCAGCTGGAAGCTTAAGGTTAATTTTCAGAAGGTGTTCGATTTGATTCTGGAAGAGGCTGTGAATGTGAATTTGAAGCCAGAGCAGATGATCAAGAAGGTGTTTGTCTTCACCGGAAGCTCATACTTTAATAATAGTTGGACCAAGTCTGAGGATGAGGATTCAGGTAATAGTTGGAAGACTATGTATGAGGGAATACAGAGCAAGTTTAAGGAGAATGGGTATGATAATGCGGTGCCACAGATTGTCAATTGGAAAATCTCGGACTACGAGCCAAGGAAGTGGATGGTGCCTTCTACAAAACCAGGGGTGACCATGCTGGATAATTACTCCGACGATTTGCTGAAGTTGTTCTTGGATAATGGACGGGAAATTATCCCGGAGCTTAGCATGGAAGCAGCCATCTCAGGGGAAGAGTATCAGAAGCTGGTTGTAGTGGACTGAGTACTGACTGGTCTGGTTTTGATGTTCATCATCTGTGTGTGTTAGTTTTTTCCTCCTTTCCTTGAAGACCAAAAACTTAATTAAAATGTCCTGCAAACCTGCTTAAATCATTTTAGGAAGTTCAAGGTTACTGCTGCTTTGAAATAGTCGATGAGGTTCCATTCATGTGGTTAATTTCAGGGTTGTGTTTGGATCCTAAACATTGTTCAAACTTTTTATTGAGAACCACATTATCCGCATTCACGTTTTCCTTCTTTATCCAGAATCCCTGATATCTCATGCTATTGTACCATTTGACTTGCTACATAAAATGGTTATCTCTTTCTCTACTTAAGCTGCAATTTATTTGGATGCACAAGTCTGAATTTATACAATATTGAAGGAAATAAAAACTTCCAATTTAAACTTTCAAATGTCATATCCTGTCTTGGTTTTGGAAATTTTTACATTTATGAAGTAGCTGTCACTAACACATATTATGTGGATTCATTCCAATTACAGAAAAAATAAAAATAAACACCTTTTGACTGGTTTAACATCAATGATAACCTAGAAGGATTCTAAAAAATCAGACCTCCAAAAGTTAGATTTTCTTTCTTCAATTTGTATATCTATATCCTAATTGTTTTGAAGGGGAGATTGAGGAGAGGAGGAGGAGGGGTGCACAGTGGGGTGTGGCTCATGGGATGGTTGGCCAACGGCGGTAAGGTGTGGTGGCTGTCAAGGTTGGGTGTGCGAGGGATTTTGAAGGTTTGATGATGTTGGTTTGTTTTATCTTTAATTTTTATGTGCTATTGTTGGATGGACATGTGTTAAAAAATTAGATAGGAGACAAAAGAGACATGGAATTTGAGGACAGCAGATCCGCTCCCCAAAGAAATAAGATTGGGTCAAGGTAAAGTAGAGTCCTAGTTAATTTATAATTGGTAGATTATTCCATCATTCAACAAAACAAAACAAAACAAAGACATTCAAATTTAATTGTAGCTATCTTTTGCTGATGAAATCCATTGCTTTGTTTCAAGTAAAAAATAATAATAATAAATTCCGTTGCTTGCTAATTATGGATAACATTTAATTATGTCATACGAATTACTAGCTTGTTATCTTTCCATCTTGATAAATGAATCCTAATAAGAAAGTATTTAAAAACCATTCCTTGGTGCTCAAGTAATCACCTTCTATATACTAGAAAAAGGGGTATCATAGAGCTCAAACTCCCCAAAGCGCCCTTTGAATTTCAAAGATATAAGGCCGTCATCATCTTCTATGCTTAAAAATCAATACTAATGGCTTCTTATACAAGTCTTGTTCTTCGTCCCCTAGAGCTCAAACTACCCAGAAGCAACCCTTTGATGGCTGCCAATTTCAAGACAGCCACAATCGCTGCCAAGACAAGAGTTAATATGAGACCCCTAAATCCAATCCCACCATTTATCGGCTTGAGTACTGCTACTGGTAGTAATAGAAGAACCGCGGCATCGATCTCTGAATCCTCCTCCACTGTCTCTGATGATGGTAATTGTAATGTAACCCCTGCCTTGACCTCTTCTTCCTCAACTTCCGAGATGA